GCGGTCCAGTTTCTTGGGGTCCAGGGCCAGCGGCCCAGCTTTTCTTGGAGGGTCCTTCTCCCTGGCCCCAGTTAACCTTGGGAGCTCGGCCTCCTGGTCAGGCCAAGCCCTGGACCGGGCTCCACTGGCCGCACTGGGCAGTCAGGATTCTGTCAGGCTGGGGGACCCCGGGTGCTGCAAGCTGGATGTGGCCATGCCCAGAAGCCTGGCCCTCTGCCGTGGGAGGGGCGGCCAGCTGCCGGGGTCACCCCCATCTGCTGCGGCCCTCGGTCGGGGGGGCCGGGCCCTGCGCCATCGCTGACACCAGGCGCGGGTTCCCGGGCCTGGGCGCGAGCCAGGTGCAGAGAATGCCCTCCTTGTGGGCGCCGCGCCTGGGGCCGGGAGGCCGTGGTGCCCGCACCTGCTCCCTGCTGGGACACAAAGGCCCTTTGAGTGCTGTGCAGGGTCTGGGGCTCCCAGGACACGGAGGCCACCCAGAGCCCGGGGGCGGCTAGGCAGGTGGGCCCTGGTCTCGGCGGGCAGCGGGCAGGGCTGGCTGCTGCCCAGAGCCTGCGGGCCTGGGTGGCGCACAGCAGTGTGCTGGCACGGGAGCCAGTTGCATGTGTCCATCTATCCCCTGCTCCCCCTTGATGCCACTGTCCGGCTGTCCTTGTCGCGCCCAGGGCAGACCCTCGCCGCCTCTCTGCCTGGCGCTCCTGGCCCTCGCTGGCCCGGCTGCCCTGGGCGCCTCTGCCCCCTGCACCTCTGCAGCCCTGAGCCTGCCTGTGCTGTCTGGGCACCCTCCTGCACCCCTCCATCGGGCCAGCCACCTTCTGGCACAGGTCAGTGAGAGAGGGCGGGGCTCCTGCCCCTGTCAACAGAGGGCTGCCTGCATGGGGGACCCCTGTGCCCCACGTGCACCCCCACTAGAGGCTCAGCCGTGCCCCCAGAAAGGCATGCCATGAGGGGTCTGCCGGTGGGGCAGTGGGGGTGGGAGCAGCAATATGCAGGGGATGAGCTGCCTGCAGGCGGGAGCTGACCACCCCTGCGGTGTGGGGGGCTGGGCCGTGTGGGGCAGGGGCAGGGCTGGGGGTGCCGCGCCCTCGCCCTAGGGCACATCCGGGCACTGGCGAGCCCCCTGCTCTGTCCAGTGGGAGCTGAGCCGGGGCTGACTCGGGCGGTGCTGCCTGAATGTGCCCATCCCCAGCTCAGAGGCTGGGA